GAAAAGCTTCAGTTCATGTCTTTTGCCCACTTTTTCATGGGGTTGTTTGATTTTTTTCTTGCTGATTTGCTTGAGTTCTTTGTAGATTCTGGTATTATTAGCCCTTTGTTGGATATATAGCATGAAAATATTTTCTCCCATTCTGCAGGTTGTCTATTCACTCTATTGATTGTTTCCTAGGCCATGCAGAAGCTTTTTAATTCAATCAAGTCCCATTTATTAGTTTTCTTTGTTGCTATGATTGCCTTTGGGGTCTTCTTCGTAAAATCTTTGCCTAGGTTGACATCTAGAAGAGTTTTTCCAACATTTTCTTCTAGAATTCTTATAGTTTTAACTGGATGACTTTGAGTTCTGACATCATTGGTAAATAAAATAGCTTACAGTTTTAATGACTCACTGTCATATTTGTTTGGGAGATAGACTTTCTTTTTGCTTCCCATGTTATACACTAGGCACATACAATTAAATTTATATCATATTTCTTGTTTCCTTCCATACAATAGATGCTTAATCAGAAGAAATTAAAAGGAGGGACTCCTATTCACTAACTTTTCTTTTGAGTTTGGTCCCATAACCATTTTATTTTATTTTTTTGGATTTAGATGATTGAATCATCTTAAAAGGTGGCAAAACTTCTTAAAATTGTTTTTGTCACTTTGTTTACATAAGGAGAAGCTCTGGCTCTCCAGCAGGTACCTTACAAATTCATTTCTAAAGTAACAAATGAAACACACAATTTTCACTTCACATTTGCCTCGTGAAGACAAATGAGATGGCTGTTTATAAGGCATCTCTGGAGAAAGATACTATACTAGATCATATGATCATTTTCTAGTTTGGATTAGGAATATCAAGCTCTGAAGAAAAATTCCTCTTAATTATTTGTTCCTCTCAAAATATTATAAGTAAATGTGTAAAGAAAAGCTTGCCAGGTTATTAAACCTTTCTTATGTCCTATCAGTTTGTTTAAAAAAGTAAGTTTCACAAGGAGTGATTGATCTTTCCTCAGAAGAGATATTGATAAGCTCTGTACTATATATTAATATTTCTTACTGTGGCTGTAAAAAAAATGGTGTGATTATTTGGTATTACAAAAACCAGAGTTTTACAATCCTTGATTCTGAAATAAGTTACTGATGAACCCTCCTTCACTGGAGGTATTTTTAAAAATAGGACCAAATTTGGTGTCTTTAGATTGGTATGGGAATAGTACTCCATGGAAAACTGAAATGGTTTAAATGATTCTTGCCATGCTTTACTCTATCTATCTTGTTTGTTAGAGTGGTTAATAAGAGAGTTTTGAGAGTTAAAAGGAAGTGGTAACAGTTAATTCTATAAAATAGGGACACGAAATGCACGTACGATATATGGGAGGCCAGATATGAAACCATCTGGCCTCTATCCCGCTTGGCTGGCTGAGAGCACCAGAGTATGCAGAGCACACACTCAGCATCTAAACATCCCCTTTACAATGTCTGCACTGGATGATGTCACACACAGGTGTTAACATGGTGATCTTCTTGGTTGGGTTGGCAATCTGACAAA